TATTTTCATTTTTATATTCATAGAAAACGTTATTTGAAAAAGATAACGTTCTGACGTAATAATAAATGGAATAGCAGTTACTCCAAACGTGGTTGTAGGTAAATTTTTTTTAATTCTGGTCCAACAAATGATAACAAACTACCAAGTATCTGCATTGATTAGAATCTAGTTGATTATAAAATTCGATAGAGTATACTATATGAAAAATGTTTTGATAAATCTTATCTTTAATTTGTTTCTTTTTTTATAATTTAGTAGTTACAATAGGTAATTTATTTGTTTTTGTTAATTTGTTGTTTGCGTTCTTTAAATAATAATAATAAAAATATGACTAAAAAAAGACAGGAATTGTTTTTAATTTTAAATAAAATAAATTTTACATTGTTTATAATATATATTTATTTTAAAATTTTTTATAACTTATTTGTTATTAGTATTTAGGAATAAATTATTTTTTCTTAATAGTTTAAAATTTGAAAAATTTAGTTAACATATGTTCACATCATTATTTTATTAGCTTCGATGCAAAGCTGAGAAGGTATTGGTTTTACTATGATGTGTTTTTTTTTTTGTATCTGTTACCACTTTTTCTCAGTCTCACCGAACCGATTTGTTTTAATGGTAAGTCAAAAGATCACATATCGTATCTAGTCGAAGATATTACCTTAAAAAATGGAAAAATTTCCCTCGTTCTCCGTAAAGGGGGGAAACCCCCCAAAAAATTATAAATTTAAAAATCGCTAATTTTCGAAATTTTTTCAATTTTTTTTACTAAAAACTGCCGTAACTTTTTCAAAAATGAACATATCAATATAATTTTTTTTTATAGATGCTTGATGTCTTTATCTATCATTTGGTATTTATTTTTTGTAAATCTGACACTTAACCTGCCCATAGGAGGGGATTTAAAATGACAACTTTTTTACAAAAAATTAACTTTTTCAACCTAACTTTTGAAAATGATCCAGAAGGTCTGACACTTTTATATATACCTTAAATTATAGCTAATGTAATATACTTTAATTTGAAAAAAAAATTTGAACTCTGGACTTCATGGTGAAAACGACTCCGAATGCTATTTTTGTGTGAAAATTCTCGATTTTATATTTTACATTTTTTACTTTAAAATGCTATAACTTTTTAAAAAATGTATGGATCAATACAATTTTTTCATGAGAAGTAGTATTTATATACATCTTTCATTGGATATACTTTTTTTTTAAATCAGACTATTTCCTTATATACGGGGGGTGTTCAAATCTGAAAATTGCATATAGAAAGTAGAACTTTTTCCGCTTAACTTTTGAAAGTGTTCCGGATGGTCTGACACTTTTATATATATCTTAAATTAAAGCTAATGTAATATACTTTATTATGGAAAAAAAAAATTTCGGACTTTATTTGGTCTTCACGATGAAAATGGCTACCAAATGCTATTATTCTGTGAAAATTCTCGATTTTGTATTTTACATTTTTAACTTTATAATGCTATAACTTATTGAAAAGTGTATTGATCAATATAATTTTTTTATGGGAAATACTATTTTTTAATAATCCCTTTTTCATTCGACATACTTTATCTTAATCAGGATATTAATAAGGAACTAGCAGTTTATGAAGCTTTTGGAATAATCCACCAATTTTTTAAAAATAAACACAAATTTTGAACTTGTAAGATTCATATAATGGAATACTGTCTAAGTAATCACTGTCAGATATCATTATACTTGATCCAANTACTGTCTAAGGAGTGGAGGGAGCCCCCCCACAAGCTTTTCATTGGAAACAAATTATGGAAAATGATACAAGGGCCCAAAATTGTCCAATAAACATTTTCTGGCTACGTACCTGCATATTAGTCTTACTTTAAGAACTACTTAATTTTGGTAAAGAGGCAAGGATAACCCTTTGGATCACGGTTGGTAAAGCGTTATTACGAGCACTGTTACAAAAGATAAAAAGGAATATTAGAAAAACTCAGTATTCTTGATCACAGTTGATGACGCGAAGGTTATGATCACCGTTGAAGATTAATATAGCTTTTTTAGAAAAGAATTTTAATATAAAAAATTTTGATCATGGTTGGTAACGCGTTGTTGCGAACATCGAATATTCTATCTGTGTATGCACGTTATTAATCTAGTTAGCAATAGAAATTGAGATTCCTAGATTAATTTATGAAACTTATTTAAAAAAAGATGGGTGTACCTTATACAGTTCACCATCACTTGGGTAGTGTAGATTAATCCTTTGCTAATCATTTATTTTTAATATTTTGTAATGAATAAATGTGCATTTTTATATCTTATTTGAATAACGAATTCCCGTTTGGACTGATATGTAATATAAAAGGATATACAAGCATTACTATCTAATTAAATAAAAAATACATTATTTTATATTCTTTTGAATAAAAATTAACAGTCAGCGCTGTCCAACGGATTTTCGTGCAACTGAAAAAACGACAATAAAGCTGTAGCGTAACGCTACATCAGATACAATATGTTATTTTAAAAATTTATTTTCTTCTTAAAATATATTTGGGTATTGTTTATATAAACTGGTTATTTCTACATGGCTTAAATTTATGGCCTTAAGTTCAAAATTAACTATTAAAACAAAATTATGAAAATAAATTTGATTTAGGTATTGTTTGTGTCACTTCACTTCTAGCGACGAAACTACTTACAGAAAAAGGCGTTTCTATAAAAAAAAAAGGTTTCTTCGCTGCAAAATTCTGAACCCAACCCAAACGGATATATTCAATTAATATTATTTAAAGTTTTAGCTCATAATTTAAGAAAACGCAAATTTCAGATATTTTAAAACCATATTATAGTCACATAGATCTTAAAGGATTAAAATGATAAAAAAATGGATTTTAAAGTAATTGAATTTAAAAATGGAGAAATGCTATTTATTCGATACAGTTAGTTTATGGCTGGTGTCACACGAGGGTACAAATTGCGTTGGTACGCACGTCAAAAAGTACGTGCTGTAATATAGGTCATTATTTTATAAAACTGAAAAGAAAGCATTTTTGTAATGTTTGGTTTAACTATGAATTTCTTAATCTATTATTACAAAAATATAATATAGTCTATTATTTGTAAACCTAGAAGTAGAACACTTATGTAATGTTTGGATTAATTGTAATTCCCAGAATTATTGTTACTAGATCAGGAAGTAAATATTTATAAACCTTTTTGAAAATGATTACTATATGAATTTTATAAAAGACAAACAAAATATTTTAGTATATAAGATGAAACGGAATGAATTAAAAGGGGAGAAAGAGAAGACCTCGGGAGTACCGAAGGTAATCTCTTTCCGTGTGGTACGTTTGTGACTTTAAGATTTTATTTTTGTGTATTATTTATTTATCCGTTTTTTAAGTGTATCAATATTTTATATGTTTTTATTTTTGATTGATTATATCTTTATTAACTACATTTTGCGTTATTATTGAACTACTATTTATATAAGTTAGAACAAAAGATTGTTCTACATATATAAATACAACAGTGCGTACCAACGCATTTTGTACGCTCGTGTGACCGTGGCCTAAAGATTTGTTGATAAAGAAAAATACTTTCAAAAATCCATTATGTTAATTTATCCACTCATTAAATTAAATTAATAATTAACATTAAATAATTAAATTTAATTAACTATTCACGACTTTGTTTATTAGCGTATGAATGTCCAATAACCGTTTAAAAGTTGTGAACGAATGAAGTTTGATAAGTACGATAGGTTGGCTTGAAATTAGTAGTGGTTGGATGCACTATATAGTTGGAAGGCTATATAGCGCCGAGTAGTGCGAGAACTTAGTTTTATGAAAGCAGACACACAATATATTATATAATAAAATATTGTAATAAAACATAAATTGTGTGATAAATCTTAGTCGTTATTAGACACTAACTTAATGAGTTGGTAGTACCAAGTTTCTTTTTTAATAAAAAAAAATTATATCTTCATCATATAATTATTCTTATTCAGAGGGAATCTCTTCCTCACACCAGGTTAATTACATCCCTGTAATTTATTAAAATTAAACAAAACTTTTTGAATTTTGTTAAATAATAATTAATTATTATTATTTAGATTTTTCTTTATATAATAGCACTTAATTAAAAATGTTTGAAATCATTTTTACAACAGCAAAAATGAACAGTGCGTGTAAAGTAGCAAATTAGTTTTTGAATAATTTGATTTATTAAAAATAAAAAAATGCGTTTACGTTATATATTCGAATTTTTGATTCTGAATTTGTATTTCTTTAGTTATTCTTTAATTTTGTAAAGTGGCTCATTTAATCAGTTAATGTTCATTTTCAGAAGTGTTTTTATAAATATTTTTTCTTAGAGATAAACATTATATTTTGTTATACTTTATTTCTATGTACAATCATTCACCATATTAATAAGTCTCCCTAAAAAGTTTATTTTTATCTAAATGTATAAATGTATATTGTAAAAAAATTAATTTAGTATGAAATTGATGTTTAATTTTTTATATTGTATATAATATTTATATATTGGAGAAATCATATAATAGTTAAATACTTCGTAATATCTATAACAAACGTGTATTAAAAATAAGGATGAATTTATAAAAAAAATCTACAAAAATACTCCCTGAACACATTTAAAACTAACTATTAAATCTTATTTTTTGTTTGTAACAAGATTCAAACAGGGATTTTTTACACAAAACTAATATTTTTTTTTAACTTCAGTAACTATTTTCTCATAAATGATAAGATGTTTTGTCACAGAAAAAATAAAATAAAAACATCATAGTAAAATTAATATCTTTTCATCTTCTCATCAAAGTTAAAATTTAAATTAAAATTATTAAAATGATAGTCGGCTAAAATTTGTTTTAATAATTTATTTTATAAACAAATTAACCTAATGTTTTTTTGTTATTATATTAACAGTAATGCAATTTTGTAAATACTAAGAAATTACAAAAATAATTGCTAAACTAAAATGTCATTAAAAGATAATGAAGAGTTTAAATTTGCTCTTAGAGATATCGTGAACAATTCATTCAAACTAGAATCTCAGTTTGGTAAAAAATATTTTTGTTAATAAATAATATATAGGTAATGAACTTTTTATAATATAGATAGAGTTAGGTGTGCAGAATGGGTTCATAAATTAACAATGTTACCCGACGATAGCCTTGAGAATATCAAAATTCGGAATGATTATATTCAATATTTGCGCATTATGATAAGAGCTGGCATAATGCACGGAATATTTTCAGATAGTCCTCCACCTGTATTAGCTCCATTTCCAGAAGCTATTGTAAGTTTTTTTGTAGATATGTAGAAATTTAGTTAAAACCAATTAGTTGGGAACCTTTAATTTGCAGCCCTACGATATACTAAAATTGATTGACTATCTGCCACAAATTTAAAAATACAACGTCACTTCATAAAATCTAGACATCTTATTTTTACCAGCATTTTTTTATAGGGAAAACATATCACAACTCAAGTGCCTTCTTTACCACCAATGGGACCAATTAATGTATACATGAAACATTGGTCTCCAGATGGAAGAGCATATGTGGCGATAAAACCTATCCCGGGAAAAGGAGTTTTGACTTATCTATCAGTTACACCGCAACCTGACGGATCACACAGTTAAATTTTTGTAAAAGAATTATAAAAATAAAAAAACTGATAAGTTTTGTAAACAAAAAATAAAAGACAGTTAAACAATTAAAAAACAATTTAACAAATACAATGAATAAAATGTTTGTAAAAAATTAATATTTTTACGTCAATGACGTATCACTAAGGTTGTATAATTTTTTTAATGTAATATGGGACAGTCCGGTAAATTCACATTATTAAGATTTACTGCAGACTAAACATTAATATAGAATAAAATCAATGAAGTAGAATTTACTTTTAAGTAGAATAAATATTAAGGCTTTCGTAAAAACTATGATCAAAATTTACCTACATTATTATAAATATGATTAGTATCTAAGCAATTAAAAATTTGTTTTTATCAAGATGAATATTTTTTTGTTATATTAATATGTAATTGTTAAGCATATGACTAAACTATTTTCATACATTCTATTCCCTAATAATGCAGTCGAAAATTGTTTTCGAGTGCTTTTAGATAAAGAATATCATAAAAAGAAATAATACAGTTGCAAAGCATTATAAATATATTTTATATTAAAATGTATTTCTTAATAGTATGAAAATTTGTAGTATTTTAATAAATATTGTTTGAATAAAAAAATTATTAATGAAAGGTATATATAAAAAATTAAAAATAAAAACCAAATATGTCAATTATTCTTTAAAAAATAAATTAAGTATAAATATTAAATTTTAATTCGTTGCAGTATGAGTTGAATTAGTGTTTAGGAGCCCTATTTCTATAAACGAAAAAAATAAATCAATATTTGAAGTCCTTTTCCTTTTGATGTTGCGCAACTATTTTGCCATGTATGATGGTTATCCTTTTCAGTTTAAACTCACAAAATTATTCACTAATATAATAAACTAATACTAAAATACTAAGGTGACCCATAAAGAATCGATGTCTATTCATGATAACATGGAAGGGTACAGTTAGTACTAGTCTTGTAGTACATGTACTAGAAACTGTGTAATAGATAAACTATAAAAGATTGAGTTCTTTTGTAGAATTATATTTCTCGTCTCCATTGGCAAGTTCTCTCTAATGAGCTATTATCCAACTTTTTGGGTTTTATATTTTAGGAGAAAACTTAAATTAAAGAAATATTTGGATCATTCATACTGACATTTTTTAAGATTAAAATCATATTTCCTAGGCTTAATATCCCATCAATAATCAAGAATTTTCATAGCCATTACTTTGCAACAATTTTTTGTCTGACTTGTATCATATACAATCATTCAAAAATTCGAAATAGCCCGTTGATCAGAGAGACACGATTCTCATAAAAATTTTATTGAGCAAAAGCTTGATAGAGACATAAAGCAATGTTCGGATCTATTACTTTGATATAACAGACATAGTGCCATATTCCAAATTGGAAAAATTCTAACATCGCGGTTGATGTCGTTAGAATCCTATGAAGGTAGTCCCAGCCTTACAATCAGTGTCTTGAAATCCATAGTACCACGTGGAAGGAAAAATCGGACTAAAAAGATAAGCAAAATCTCTGGTAGTTAAGAAGAGCACTATGAAAATAAAATAAAACTAGCCCAGTAACAAAGAGAATTGAAAAAGTAATTAAGAAAGAAAAAAAAGTGGGAAAAATAACAAATCGAAAAGATGGAAGACTCCAAAATGTTTTTCAGGAAAGCCAACGAAATAAGAAAATCGTATATATCAAAATTGGCAATAATGAAAAATTAGAATAACGAATTGATAATATACGAACAATCCATTGCTGAAGAGTTTATAAGAGTCTTCCAAGAAATACTGGACCAACCAGAAACCGAGGATCAAAGACAGAATGAAAAGTTTAAGAAGGTTTAAGAAACAGCGAATGGTGTTAGTTTTAATGGAAAGGCACATGCATTACTAGCCTACGCTGATAACATAGTGATAATTGGATCAAATGAAGAAGATATATAGAATATTACGAATGAGCTGATAATCAGAGCGCAGAATATGGCACTAATAATAAACGAAGGAAAAACTAAATATATGGTAGTTACGAGAGGTAACTAAGTAGACCAACACATAAGTTTGGAGATAGAAAATTATTGTTTTGAAAAAGTAGTAAGGTTTTAATATCTGGGAGTCAACATGAATAGCCGTAATAATTATTATGAGAAAATAAACTTAAGGATAAAAGTCGGAAACAGATGGTATTTCGCACTTCAGAAATCCTTTAGTTCCAAATTATTATCAAAAAAATCAAAAACGCGTCTATACAATGTTTTAGTAAGATTGTTGATCTTATACGCATGCGAACATGGCCTATGTCAAAAGGGGACGAAAGGAAACTGGCAGTCTAAAGGACAATTCAAACTATACGGAACATCAACGTCACGTAAATATATGGTTACATTTTTTTTTACGTATAGTGTGAAAAGTCCATAAGAAGGAAAATTGCTACGGCGCATTTTTGGTTCTAAAAAAATGATCAAACAGATGATTATGNGCAGTCTAAAGGACAATTCAAACTATACGGAACATCAACGTCACGTAAATATATGGTTACATTTTTTTTTACGTGACGTTAACATTTCGTATAGTGTGAAAAGTCCATAAGAAGGAAAATTGCTACGGCGCATTTTTGGTTCTAAAAAAATGATCAAACAGATGATTATGAAATAAGATCCAACAATAAAAGACCTGTGGGGAAAAGAAGACATCATATAGACTCTCAAAAGAAGAAAAATATGCTGGCTTGGACACGTATGGATATCGAATGGAATAATAAAGGATGCGCTTAACTGGAAACCAGAAGGCAACAGACCACTGCGCAGGCTGAAGAAAAGTTGGATAGATGAACCCAACCAGAATTTTCGGATACTTGAGGTTGATAACCCTGAGTAATAGGCAAATGATAGAGAGAAATGGAGAAGGCAGCGTAGAGCAACGATGGGCTTCAATAGCCTGATGATGATGATGATAATACCTTAACTCCAAAAATTAATAAGCTTATTATATATTTCAGTCTTAAAAGTTTCTTATTCTGGAACCTACTAGACATTTAATCAGCTGAAGCTGTACGTTCTTTATTTTGCAAATTTTTTAATTAAGATTGACAAAAATAATAATTTCTGTGATTAATTTTACACTTTTACGCTTATTATTAATTACAAAAATCTTTTAAACAGCTGCACCAATGATGAGGTTTACGTATGTTTATTTTAAATAAAAATAAATATAGTTAAAAAAAACTGAAAAACACGCTAGTTTTTGTGACATCGTTGTTACAGTCACGGAGTGTTTATTGTCAATAATCACTATCAATAGATATAATTTCTGTATTGCCAGTTAGTGTGTTTATAAATTCACAGCAAAGTGTCTTATGTCCATTGATAATAAAGGCTACATACCTGCTAATATAGTCATAAAAAACCAATTAGCTACCTGTATTCCCTTATATTTTATACATGTATATTAACTCAAAAAAAAATTAAATCTTTAAATGTTTATATTTAATAATAAACAATAAAAATTTGTTTATATACAAATTTGTTTATACAGGAATAGTGTTTGCCGGCGAGTGGTGAGCGGGGTAGGGTGAATTCGTTACGACAGTCTAGTCTCAAGGCCATAGACAACGGGATACGTGAAAATAATAACACGTGGCGCGTAGAGAGTTACAAACATACATGCAGATGAAACTAATAGAAGCGTGTTAAAAATAACATGTTGTTGCTCATTAATAAACGGCCCACGGGTCTCTACCCTCAAAACTAGTGTCGACTATATTATTGTGACGTAAGTCGTGTCAATCTAAAAAATGGAATATTTTATTCCACATAAAATTATCTATTTAATGATATAAACGCTAAACTTCCAAATTGAACTAAAATAGTGTTTTGAAATTCAATATTTTTAAATTATTAATTATTATTTTACATAGTATATTGTATTACAATTAAATATCATATTCAACGAAAACAGAAGAATGATGTTTTCTCTGTATTGATATTCTGTTCCCAACAATAGCTGCATCTGTTTTTATAAATAGTTTTTACCGAGTTAAAACAATTCTCGCAAAATATTTGTGGACAACGAGGAGAAAAATTATATTTTCCAATATTCATTTTACACTTCGTACATTTTCGTTTCCGTTTGAAAGGAATACCTATAGAGTAATATCAAAACTTTAAAACAAATTTTATACAATTATAATATAGATTAAAAAATTATTCATAATATAATAGTTTATAATATGAAATAAGAGATCTACAATGGCATCGTGTTGCTAACTTTATAGACGGCAAACAACGACTAAATCTTAAACATTTATACAAAATGTTGTATTGAGTAAAACGACAACCGAAAAAGGAAAGTGACACTTTTGACCTTGTTCACATAAGTTGTTATTCACATTTACCCTTTATACAGGTCACCAAAAAATCCAGTGTCGAAATCTTGATCTTACATTATAATACTGATCAAAATTATTCATAATTTTATGTTTATGTTCATCATCGTTTGACTTCAATAAAATAGAAATTATAGCAATTTTATATCTACTTAGTAAGTTTAAATAGGTATTTAGATTTTTCAGAAATCAAATTTGAAACTTAGTTGGTCTATCGGCTGTTGTAGTGCGCCTACAGTAATATAATATATGAGATATACAGTCCATTAATATTTTTGAGTTTCATTATTTTAGTTTTAATTTAATTATATCAGCTACAAAAGACAAGATTTAGCTCGGGGAGTGATCATCCGAGTAATTTTAGTTATCAATAAGATTATTATTATTCAATTTAGTAAGACTAGGTTATACCTTTAATGAGGAACAGATTGATAAGGAAATAAATTATCATCTGTTACTGCTTATCACAAGTGCATTTTTTAAAAACAGTTTTATAATTTTGGTATTATTAAAATAAAAATGTGTAAAAATTCATGAGTGAAATAAAAATTCAATTTAATACATCGCTCATCAATAAATGTTTTGTAAAATGTATGACTTTTACATTTATTTAATTATAGATAACATTCTAATCTTTAATTTATTGATATTACAACTTGAATAATTCTGTAGAAATACGTATTGCAAACAGTGGATACTGGTGGTTGGGATGCGACTTTAAATATATTAATGCTAGTCATTGGTGTAAAAAATTAATTATAATAAAATAAAACACAATACACATATTATTATTTTAAAGGTCGCAGTAGAAAATAGAAATGAAAGTAATAATAATAGCGATTATACTATTATAGCCACCGATAACGACGAACGCAAATGCAGTAAATTCTAAAAATAAATTACCCAATATTATTGTAATATATTATTGTTTTGCTGAAGTGTACCCACACGCGCACGATTGTGCTCCACGTTTTTTAATATACGTTTTAAAATGTTTTTCAAACGACGTTGCCGGTCGTCCAATCACTACTCGTGTGTGTGTGTGCGTATCCGTATTTACTGAGGGAATCGACTTTAATGTTCGCACATGACAAATTTATTATAACTATTTAACTGTTTAAAAGTTTTCATTTTTAATAATGATTTAGAATTTAGAATATACAGTTAATTTTCTTCTTTTAATTAGGTTTAGTAGGGAGTGCGATCGTCCCGTCATCAAAACCCGAGCCGCCACTGACTGCAACGTATTCTTCGGCAAAATCATTTATAGTAATGTTATTGTGCATTTGGTTTAGGACAAACACACACACTTACTCTAGTACACTGATTAAGATTTTGTAATATACACTGTCATAAAATCTTATTAAATTTGAAAATATTAATCAGACTTCCTTATTCATATAATTTTTACATAAGCTGATACGGTCGATCAAAATTTATAAATTATAAAAGAAATCTCACGTTAGGAAAAAAGAGAACAATATTACATTACTATTTTACAAATAATATTATGGCAGTCAATTAAGCTAATCAAAATTTAAAAAAATAAATTAATTAAAAATATTATTTAAATCCTTAAATTATATAATTTGGCTCTGTAATATGGCCAGTTCTTGTATGTCAAATATTACACAATAAAAAAATAACAAGTATTAAGTACCTTTTACTAAGTCTTCTCCGCATAAACAACTAGTTTTCATGTAATTATTGATACAATAATCACATAAATTTTTTCCACAACATTTCATAATGACCGAATTACCATCAACGCCTTTTCTTATTTTTTTACAATTTGAGCAGACGATTTTTTCTTAAAAAAATAATTCTTTAAAAAATACTGTTATCATCTAAGAGAATTTATAATCATATTTTTTTAATCTAAAATGTTCGTTGTTCGCAAAACTTTTAAAATAGTTTACAGTATAAAACGCTAAATAAATTAGTAAACTACATTAATAACTATTGCCGGTGCTGGAAGATTTCTAAGCAAACCTGATGTGATTTGTACGTTTAATATAAATTTGTGTAGGTTACATTATTTAATCGATCAACCCTTTACTATTCTCTATATCGTATTTCCGTTTTAAAGTTAGGTAGCCGATAAGAAATTGAAGTGGGAGTATTTACGAATATTTATCAGATTATCTTATTTTTGGATTGTTCACATAAGTAGACATGCGGTAGTGTATCAACTCTCATAAATTAAAAAAAATAATAATATATATGGTGAGGAAAAAATTGAAATATCATATTATTATTTTACACATTAAAAAAAATGCATAATAGAAAAATAAAACAAGTTTAAAGTACCTTCCACTAAATCTTTTCCACACCAACATAATGTTCCCGTTCTAGAATTGATACAATTTGTACATACATAGATACCACAACATTTCAATAGTTTCACATTTATTATATTGATTTTTTCTATTCCTTTACATTTTAAGCACACGATAGATCCTTAAAAAAAAAATCATTATCATTTAATAGATTTAGAAGTAGAAATACTCGAAAATAAACTACCGAGTCTATCACTAAAATTTTTAACATTCATCACACCATATTTACCAAGAATAATGTTCGTAGTAAATAAGTACAAATTTATATCATTTTTTTTTTCTAAAAAAAGAAATAATTTAAAATTTTCAATGATGTTTTATGCTAATCATCAATTTTGAAGTGCATCTCGATAAAATTAATGTGAATTTTTTAAAACATGACCGAAATAGTTTTCCTTTAAAGATTCACAAATTATATGGTTTCTCGAAAACCCATATTTGTGTATTATTTATTTTTGAATATACACAATGGAAATACACTTTTAATGATATGGACGTGCTTTAATTTATATTAATTAATTATTTAAAACATTAAAACTTTGACAAATAAATAAAAATGGGAAAAAATGATATGTAAAAAATATAATTATTACAGCAAAAATAAGTTTTAACATTATTGATAAATTTTTTAAAAAAAACGTTTGTCAACATTTCAATATAAATTGTCATTTATTTTTTTAAAAGTACTTTTACTAAATATAAGAAAAAAATTGTTTATATTTTTGCATTTCGTTTGATTCATTATTTTATATTTAATACATAAATAATATCAAGCAAGACATTATTAGGTCATGGGGTGTATGGGGTACAACTCAAATGTATAAACCTATTTAAATAAATAATGTCTGTAATGTATTTACAATTTAATGGTCTTATTTTCCTATATTATTATGTGATGAACAATAAGACATTAAATTTGAATAGGCTAGAGACAGACTAAATTAATATATATTAATTTTCATAATACATATTAAAGAAATATATTAACATGGTAATGATGTAATGGTATACAATCGACTGCCAAGATTATATTTCGGGTTAAGTGCGATTATAGGCGTGGTTCTTTTATGAAAGAAAAGTTGGCTGTATAGGAATTTAGGATGGTACTCACAAGCATTGACACGAAGCAGAGATATATGGTGGTTACAACGATGACTTCTCTCGCACCACCCTATAAATAACTACAAATTGATTACTAACATTTATATTGAAAGGTTACAAATATAAAAAAAAAAATGAATTAATTGGCCACAACGAAAATTTGTAACTTTCATGACGCACTGAAAAATTCAAAAAGAAAGGGTCGCCGACCCACTGAGCGAGACAATGTATTGTCGGACCACAGTAGGATTAAAAAAAAATTAAATTTTGTACATTAAAAACAATTTAAGATACAAAATAAATAGAAAAGTACTAAAGGCTGAGTCGAATTTCGATGAGTCGTTGATAGTAGATACACGAAAACTTCGTGACAGTTGTTACATATCCATGATGATCAGGGACTACCTTATACAAGGCTGTTGCCCGTTCCTTATAAACTAGAATTGATTTTTGAAAGGAAAAAATACAAAAATACACGAGTCAATTTACGATGAAACACGCAAAAAAAAATAAAAAATAAAATGATAGTTAAGTTAAATTATGGAGACTTTATTAAGTTTTTTTTTTTTTTTTATTTATAAAATAATAAAATTTACAATCTGTACATAAGAAAGATACAATAAGCAAATAGGTGAACAATAGATTATAACACATTTGACTTAAAAACGGGAAAAAGGGAAGCTATCCAGTGATGGGACCCATTTGACTTGAATTGGTTATTTAGCCATCACAATATTATTTAAAAGGTCACGGCACCAGCGTCTTTTTAGACGGCGAGGAGGGTTGTCCGGAATTGTAACTATATGTTGGTTAGCAATTAATGGATTTGGATGTAGAAGTAATTTGGAATGAAACTTTTTGTAGTATAATTTAACTAAAATATCGACTGGTTCAATGTTGAAATCTTTATGTAGGGTAAGATTGGAGACATACCAAGGATCGGACGTGATTGTACGAAGGGAAATTGCTTGGAAGGCATCAATTGTTTTAAACTGCGATGTTTTGGCACAACCCCATATTTGGGCTCCGTAAGACCAAACTGGTCTTAGCATTGACTTATAAATGATTATTTTGTTATGTACAGGAAGTTTTGATTTTAATACAGGACGTAATAAGTGGAATCTAATGTTTAATTGCTTTCTTTTGGATTTGAGATGAGAACCCCAGGTTAATCTTTTATCAAGTGTAATACCAAGATATTTGACTTGAGTCGAAGAAGGGATAGGAACTCCTTGGAAGGAGAGATTAGGCATATTTTTTTTATTGAGAGTGAAAGGAACATTTACTGATTTGTCTGCATTGATTTTAATTTTCCAATTTGTGGACCATTTATCTATAAAGTCGAGGTGGAGTTGAAGAGCATTATAAGCTGCGATTGGGTCTTTATTGGAAGATAAAATGGCTGTGTCATCAGCGTAGGTAGTCAAAGAGGTGTTTTGAGTTTGGGGGATGTCTGAAGTGAAAATATTGTATAAATCGGGGGAAAGGTCACTACCTTGTGGAACTCCTGCTAGGATGGGAAAAAGAGAGGAATAAGAATTACCATAACGAACTTTAAAGGTTCTGTTTTCTAGGTACGAGCGAATAAGAAGGTATAGGAGAGCAGGGAGGAATGATTTAATTTTATAGAGTAGGCCAGGATGCCAAACCCTATCAAAGGCCTGAGCCACATCGAGAAAGACTCCCGGACAATATTCTTAATTTTCAAAGGATGATGCTATTATATCGACTAGCCTGTGTATTTGTTGTATAGTGGAATGATTTGAACGGAACCCGAATTGAGCGTTGGGTATTACTTTATGCGATTCTAAGATTGGTCTTAATCTTTTCAAAATGATTTTCTCAAATAGCTTACCAAGCACTGAAAGCAGACTAATTGGTCTATATGAGGTTGCTATGTTGGGGGGTTTGCCCGGTTTGATAATAAGAATAATAATAGACTGTTTCCAAATGGTAGGGAAATACGAGATTCTTAACATGGAGTTAAATATGAAAGTTATTAAAATAATTGTTTTTTTAGGGAGATGTATTAAAATCTTATTTGTTATCAAGTCATGCCCAGGTGATTTATTGGACTTTAATATTTGAATAACATTTTCAATTTCATTTGGAGAGACATGTTTAGTAGGGAGAGACATAGGTAGTGGAGAATCTAAAAAAATATTTATTTTGATTAATTGAGAATTGCTAGGAATAATATCAAGGTGAGGTGTGAAAATATTTGAAAGGTGTTCTCCAAAAAGATTAGATTTGCCAAGATCAGATAAGGCAAGCGAACCATCTATTTTTTTAATAGGACAGGAAAAATCTTTCAGTTTGAGCATATTTTTAGTAGTTTTCCATAATGAACCGTCCTGAGACTTGAGGGATTTGAATTTCGTGTCAAAGAGGTTGTTTTTATATTTTTGAATTATTTTTTTTAAGGAGTTAGATAGATTATTGAAAGTAGACTTGTCTGAGGGAAGTCTAGTTCTTTGCCAACGGGCGCGGGCCCTACGTTTTTCAGCAATTAGTATTTTTATATTGGAAGGTAAAAGAAAAGATTTTAATTTTGAATTGGAATTTTGAGTGGAATCATAAGAAGAACATTCATGTACAGCTGATTGAATTGAGCTGACTAATTGTTGGGCTGCGGAGTCAATTTCGTTGCAAGACTTTAGAGGGATTTTTAAGTTTGTACTATTTTCTAAGGTTGAGGAAAATTTATTCCAATTTACAGGTCCTTTGGAAAGGGAGGGGCGAGGAGGAGATTGTGTTGGAAATTCTTCAATCTTTAACAAAACTGGTGAATGATCAGATGATAGGTCACATATATTATGAATAGAATAATTTATATGACCCGGGATTGATGATATAAAAAAATCAAGTAAGTCAGGTAGTCTATTCCTGTGAGTTGGCCAGTAAGTAGAACCAGGAGGTGAAATAGTTGAAAAACCGTAAGATAGAATAGAATTGTAAAATAGCCTCCCTCTAGGGTTTTCAACGCGACTACCCCATAATGGATGCTTGGCATTAAAGTTCATCGCTGGGGGAGAACTTGCGTCCTAATGAAGAAATAAGCTGCTCTAAGTGGGGCTGAGATATGTTTGGTCGAGGAGGACAGTATATTGCTGAAATAATTATAGGATTATGATTTATTGAAATTGAGATATTTGTTGCTTGGACAGTCTGTAATAGTACACTTGGTAGAAGGTGGTGTTGCATTAAGGATGAGATGAGAATTGCAGAACCCGTATGTGCCATACCATCTGGGTGGTTTGTTTTGTAAATATTGTAACCAGGAAAAAAATGTTTGGAGTTATCTATGTAGTGTGTTTCAGTGACTAGAGCTATATCAATTTTATTATCTATAAGAAAGTTTAAAAATTCAGATTCTTTTTGTTAAAAACCATTAGCATTCCAAAGAATGATATTAAGAGACTTATTATTAGTTTGATTATTTGTCATTATTTGGAATTAATTTGTTAATTACAGTGGTAAGTAATTGAATTAAGGGGTAAATGAGTTGCTTGAACTCTATTAAAAAAGAGGATAATTGGTTGTTAGATGAATTTTCTGGTGAGTTTATTTGAGAATCGACTTTACTTGAAAAACTATGGATTTGGGTATTTTGAGTAAGATTAGGAAATATTTTATTGTCTGAGATGTTAGGAGGGGTAGAGTGAGTCCCATCATTGGATCGCAACTCCTAATTTTTTACAATAGTGTTAATATTTTTAAGGGGTTTGTTAGATTTGAGATTTGACCGTTGTAAGTTTTTGTGTACTGAGCAACCACGGTAGTTTGCTGTGTGGTTACCTTTACAAAGAGCACAAGTAGGAGGGGTATCTTTTGATTTAGTACACTGTGAAGTGGGATGGAAGTCTGCGTAACGAACACATCTAGGAGGATGAGCACAATATCCTTTTGAATGACCGTATTCTTGACAATTTGAACATTGAATAATTTCACGACGTTTGTGAGGCTCTTCTACCTTTATTTTAGTATGGAGCAACGAAGTTAATTTGAATAATTCACTGTTCATTTGGGCGGGTTCAAGATCCACAAAAAATATTGGAAGGGGGTGCTTGGTATTTTTATGAATAATATTTGTAACTTGGCGGACAGAGTAGCCTAACTCTTCGATGGCAGCGCCAACTTCAGTAGTTGGTGTAGAGGGATGTAAGTTACGTATAACGATACGAAAGGCTTTTTGTTCACGGGGTTGATATGTGTGATATTCTGCATCACTTGTTTTTAAATAGTTGATGACTTTTCTGTACGAGTCAGAGTTAGTAGTTTTAATTTTTAGATTATTAGCTGATGATTTAAAGCTAAAGTTTTGAGAATCGATCAGTTTTATTAATTGATTACGCAATTCAATAAAATCAGCAACATTACGAACGAATATTGGAGGAAGTGGCGGGGTATGATTTATTTGAATATCAGTATTATTAGAATTTATATTTGATGTATCATTCGTTTCAATAGATTTTTCTGTATCATGAGAATGTAGCAAGTTAAACTTGTTGGTGCTTACAAAGATGGGTTTGGATTTCTTCATTTCGGATTTTTCAGTAGAACTGGTTGACGAAAGGTTACGTTTATAGTTATTTTTCACTGTTTGAAAACCCAAAAGAGTTTCATCGTCCGAAAAAACATCGTTAGAAGTGTTTGATAGATTAGAAACGCTCTGTATGCGATTCGCAGTGTTAATATCTGAATTATTTTTATTTTTAGATGTTTGTTTAGATTTAATTTGTGAACTGACTGATAGCGGTTTTATGGGGATAGACATTGAATGAGATAAGATAGGAACGACCGACGGCAAGACCGGGGAGTTCCGAGAGATAATTGATAGTTATTATGATTTGATGTTAGTAATAAGTATATTAAGATCACCAAATTGTAGTCAGTGAAGGATTTGGAACAATCAGCAACTTCCAAAAGACGGTAGATAAATCATTAGTGTAACAAAACGGATCGAATGGTATTCATTTTGAGATAATAGCACAATTATTAAGGTTAGAGAAAAATAAAATAACAGAGAACAATAGAACACGCACATATCGCTACGGAATACGACTTTATTAAGTTAAAAAAAAAAATTCAGATAATACGAGGCAAAAAGCCAAACGGTCAAAAAACCTCGTCTACAAATTAAAGAGGAACAAAAAAAACAGATATTAATAAAAAAAAATAGTTACTATTATATCAAATATACTTATTGTGCTATGTTGTATGTCTTCGAGTACTCACCGGTTATTAATCGCGGCATTATCGCTAAGCACGGCGGGTATACATCCCAAGTAAGCGATTGGTTTTAATTAGTTAGACTTAGATTGCAAGACGTTGGGACATCTCGAAATAAAATGCACTACATCATCACATTGTACTAATTCTATATACGCATCACCCAATATCATATAAAATCTATATAAATAAAAAAATCACAAAAAAAAGTATATATAACTTGACAGGTGGTATAATAACACGTCTGCCATGTTGATGGACCTAAATAATAATAAAATAGGGACACCTACAAAAACAATTTAGTAAAAAAAAAAATAATAAAACAAATTCGCCACACGTGCTTATGGCACAGCGCACTAAAAAAAATACTATGGCTCAGAAAATGGTAAACAAAAATTATACGTTACCAGTCCCGAAGGGCTAAAGAAACAGGAGGCAGGTTTAGCCGACGCCAATAAACGAAAAAATTACATTATAAAGTGCTGTAGCGGACACTCACGATAAATATATATAAAAACTACGATGTTGCAGCGCACATAACATCAATAAATATAATTAAAAAAAAATAAAAAAACACTCTTTTAAAGTACATCAAACTAAAAAGTTAAAAATTATTTTTAAGTGTGATTTATACGGGAAAAAATTAGTTTTTGGGGGATCCGGATCACTACGGTTCGGCGATCTGAATCATTTCGTTCACTATTTTGACCCGTTCAATGCGATCCGTTCGTTCGCGAACGACTCATCTCTAGTACACAGCTAACTATCTCGCACGCGCACAAACAAATCAAAACACCTTATCAAGATTATTTAACTGATAAACGATGTCGCTGTACGCATTCGGCTCAACCATGATTATTGAGAACACAAATATGTAAAAACATACAATAGACAAAAAATAAACTGATACTTTTTGTCATGCTACAATATTTTGGACTAACTATTACTCGGAGCAAAGAGTGGAAAAATACGTTTTTAGAGAAACCCTCTATTCTACTTGTACTAGAGTCTAGTAATTAGACTAACAAATTGGTAAATTGATGACCCAATTAGAATTGATTTTCTCTTTTAGAATGTGCCGATTTGGTTAGGAACTAGAAGGCTAAAACGAAGGGACAACTGAAGACAAAGCAAATTAATATTAAATACCATTATCTTTAACTGGATCTTACAGGTTTATAATAAAATTTAATTAATCTTTACCACAAATGCATAGACAAAATAAATAAAAAATTGGCAACTTACTTTCATAATCTGAAAAAAATACCATAAATTCTCTAATTTAGATACAATTATACATTATAATATTACATATTAAAAAAAAACTCAGAAAATAAAATACTTTAAAAAATTGAAATTCTAATATTTTACAAAATTATATATTTTTTATTGTTGAGATCCCTATTTGATTGCATACATACTATAATATAAAAGTACTTTTTAAAAGTATTCAAAATATTACTCAAGTGCTATTGCTTAAATATATATTGAACACTTTAAATTATTTGAGCTATTTTTTTTTTAAAGACTAAACACAATGTAACGAAGTTTTGCTACTCAAACGTTAAGTAGCATCAGATTTTTACATTTTTATAAACGCTCATACTTAAAAAAAATTGTGTATTAAAAACCGATAATGTAGGATTATAGATAATGCTATTATGTTTAATTTCATACATAAATATGTACATATTTTGTTTAATCATTCATTCCACTAGAAACTGTTATTGTTCAAGAACATATTTTATAATATTTCTTTTTAATTTTATGTTTAATTTAATTTTAGCTTTGTTGCGAAGCTGAGAAGGTATTGGTTTCACTATGATGTATTTTTTTTTTGTGTGTGTGTCTGTTACCACTTTTTCTCAGCTCTCACCGAACCGATTTCTTTCAACGATACGTCAAAAGATCACAAATCGTATCTAGTCGAAGACATTACCCTCAAAAATTGAAAAAATTCCCCTCGTTCACCGTAAATAGGGGAAACCTCCAAAAAATTACAAATTTAAAAATCGCTAATTTTCGAAATTTTTTCAATTTTTTTTACTAAAAACTGCCGTAACTTTTTCAAAAATGAACATATCAATATAATTTTTTTTTATAAATCCTTGATGTCTTTACCTATCATTTGGTATATTTTTTTTGTAAATTTGACACTTAACCTGCCTACAGGGGAAGATTTAAAATGACAACTTTTTCACCAAAAATTAACTTTTGAAAAAGTTCCGGAAAGTCTGACACTTTTATATACAGGGTGGCCCACCACTCAATGACAACTTAAATAACTTTTGATCCAGTTAATATTTTTAGCTGATTTTTTTTTTAAATAATAGTTATACGCTAGGTCTATAGCTATATCTCAATAATTGTGTTAATCCATACACTTTACAATAAGTTATAGCATTACAAAGTTAAAAAACCCAGCACAGGAGGGTTGCGAGCGACACAGTGGTGACGTGGCATAGTTGGATAGTGATTAAAATCACTATCAAAAAAAAAAACGCTGCGATGCAAATCTTTAGATAGTGTTTAATTTTAAAAAATTGGTGTATTATTACAAAAGCTACATGATCTGCTAGTTCCTTATTAATATCATGATTAAGATAAAGTTGTCAAATGAAAAAGAGATTATTAAAAAATATTATTTCTCATTAAAAAATTGTATTGATCACTACATTTTTTAAAAATTTATAGCCTTTTAAAGTAAAAAATGTAAAATATAAAATCAAGAAATTTCACACAAAAATAGTATTCGGTAGACATTTTCACCGTGAAGACAAAATATAGTCCGAAATTTTTTAAAATAAAATAGTACATTACATTAGCTTTAATTTAAGATATACAGGGTGGCCCACCACTCACTGACAACTTAAATAACTTTTGATCCAGTTAATATTTTTAGCTGATTTTTTTTATTTTATCTAAAGATTTGCATCGCAGCGTTTTTTTTTTGATAGTGATTTTAATCACTATCCAACTATGCCACGTCACCACTGTGTCGCAACCCTCCTGTGCTGGGTTTTTTAACTTTGTAATGCTATAACTTATTGTAAAGTGTATGGATTAACACAATTTTTTTTATTATTTTTGAAATAATATTATGCACTTACAATGAGTCTCTAGGTATCTTCGTATAGCATAAGAATTTCTTAATTTCTAATACGATTAATTTTTTTGAATGTGTATTTTAATATATATACGTTATGGGGTAAAACTTTGAATAACTTTTTAAGAATACACATTAGTTTAGTAATAGTAAAAAGCTAATTATAGTGAAAAATCAATATTTATAGTCATATTCGTACACATTCGAGGCATATTTGAAAAAAAAACTAAAAAAATTATAATATTTTCCAAAAATTACAAGATTTTTTACTTAAGAGGCTTATTACTCATAGAATATGAGGTACTAGAATGTTTAGTAGTCGATAACCCCTTGAAATTCAGTTTCGGATGTTTAAATTTTACTTAAACTAGTAGAATGCAGATTTTTTGAGATATTATTAAAAATTGAGAAGTAAAATATATTGATATGATTTTTAACTAATATCTGAAGTATTGTCAATAAAATATAATCCATCCATTTTTCAAAAATCATTTTAATTAAACATTTTAAATAATAACTTTGGCTGTACAATATCAACTATAATTTTAAGGTATGTCCCTTTATTACTGTAATTTTTCAAAATTATGGTATTCAGTGATAATTATATGTTTTTTAATTTTTTGAAATATCGTTGAACAAAATTGGTCCATTTGGAGCGGAGTATTCGAGTCAAATGACACAAAAAAAAACAATCTTTCATCTATGCATCAAAGCTAAAGTAATTATAGTAATACAAAAAATAAATTTGAATAAAATAAAAAATACTCACCGGATATTAAATCTCCTTGACATATACGACACATAATCGAATCAGTTAACCATTCATTTAAACATTTCTGATGTAACTGAGTTTTGCAACACTGAACTTCAGTAACATTAGAAATTAAATAATTTTTACATTTTATACATTCTATAAAATAAAAACATTGACACATTTTTACATTTATAAAATTACTTTGTTTACTCTATTATATAAATTTTATAATTCTAATTAATTTGTCTATGTGTATTTGAAAGTGGTTAAGTTATTGAATTTAGCTATAATGTAATATTATTATATTACATTGTAACATATAAAAATTTTTTTATAATAATTATTTTGACTAATTTCATATGTTAATAGAAATTTTGCGGACTGCAATATTTAGATGAATAGCTTTTAGAAGAGTCTATGTTACATTTACGTATGAAATTCATCGATATTATTACAAGAAAGTAATGCATTTCAATGTAGCAAAGATAATAATAGGGAACGTAAAAAGTCTTTCATCAAAACAGATTTAGATAGCAAAATAAGAACAATGAAAATACTCATTCAATGTAATAAAGAATATAAAGTACGTAAAATGTCATCTATATATTCCACCACTAAAAGTACAGGGAAAGTATGGATTGTTCTATATGTTATCAAATAATTCAAGACATATTAACCATAAATAATAAATTATAAACACCATAAAATTTAATAAATCATCATAGTTAAAAGAGCGTGAATTATCTTTTTACTCCCGATGATATCTTTAAAGCTTTTGAAAATTAAAGAAAAAAAACGTTTCTTCAATTGGACCTGATGGTATTTCTGCAAGATTTTTTTTATAATTATCGTTTTTCTTTATTTTTCCTTTATTTATTCTCTTTAGAAACTCCTTAAATGAAAGAACCTTTCCTTAAGTCAGGAATCCTTTTCTTGTTACAAATTATAGACTTATATCTGGCATTCTTCATATTTCTATAATTTTGTATAAGTAGTCTATAGGCTAATCAAATATTAATGACGTGGGGAAAGAGTTCAAGAGGAAGAATTCGAAAAAATGGAAGAACAGCGTCAAGGAATTATTAGAAGAAATTGGAGTGGACGAGGCCAGGTATATAATAGAAAGAGATGGAAGGAAATAGTTTTGGCGGCGAAGAATGAACGTAGTATGAAATTGATATTTAATAATTTAGTATTGTAATTTTTACGGAGAAATTATAAAAAATCATAAAGTAGTCATTACTTTTATGACAAACGCGTATAAAAATTGTGCTTGATACAAAACTTTTCATTAGTTGTTCATTATGAATAAATGGTCTGTAAGGAATTTATATCGAAGTCAAAATATACTATTTCGCTATAATAACTTACAAGTATGTGTTACTTATAAGATTTGTGGTTTGTAATAAAAGTTTTTTTTTTTAATAATATACATTAAAAAACATACAAAAACTGTATTTGTTTTATTTAAATTTCTTTCATGGAACATGAAAAATAAAAAAAAAAATTTAACATTTTTTCTTTTTGCTCAAAAAATGGTATAATCATAAAATTTTTAAAAATTTAGCAAGATGACCCATTATAAAATCCCAAACTTTTTAAAAAATGACTCCTTTGTTACAAACATTTTCATTTTTTATCAACAACTAGTGTAACCACCGCGCCATACCACGCCCTATATTGAAGCTATAAATAATTCAAATAACAGTATTATAAAATTTTAAAAAATTCTATACTTTCAAATGGTATTTGGCGGCATGTAGGGCAATTATGACCTAATCTAAGCCAATCATCTATACATTTGAAATGAAATATCTTTTTACAACATATTACTTTTGAAAGATCATTTGTTAGTGTGATTTTACATATTGGACAATCTAAAAAAAAAAAATAATTTATGAAAATTAGAAATATTATAAACATATAATTAGTTTTATTAAATAATTATTTTATTTTGTAATATTCTTCTCCAGAATATTCACTAACTCTTATAAAACTCATATCATGCAAAAATACACTGTTTAATAAATACATTTCTTTCTTGTTTTTCAATTAGTATGGTTTGTCAATAATTATCACGAGTCAACACTTTTCATTGCATCTCCGTGGCACCAATATTATGATGGGAAATAACAGCTACTCTTTAGAGTGAACTATTAAGGTTCATTTCGATGCCATAAGACACATTGGACCATTTAACCTTTTCATTTATATAACTAATAGTTGAAGTTATATATTATCCCATATAGAAATATTCTGAGTCATGATGCCATTCATGCCACCCACGTATTGACAGACAACTTTTTTGCCTATTATAAGATGGCTAAGAACCATTGACCTCCTTCTAATTCACATATTATCGCGTATCAAGTTATCATCATAGTTTTTTTTACAGACCAAACCAGTGTATTTTTGTGTGTATGTTGTTTTGAGATTTAACTTAACTTTTCTTACTTAGTTTAAAACGTATTTGTTAAAATAACCAACACTTTGCTTAAAAATATATACACTTAAATAATTTACAAATAATTCTCTTGTAATTAATATACGTTTGTTGTGCGGGCCCACGTGGTAAAAGGAATTAAACTTAATAAGAAAAAGAAAACACTCACTTTTCAATAAAACTTTAGAATGTATAATTTGATTGACACAATTAATAATACAATACACGTTATTTATTAATATTAATACAAATGAATAGAATAATAAAATAGAATGACATAGAATGATATAGAATGATTTAGAATGATATAGAATGATATAGAATGATTTAGAATGATATAGGATGAGTGTAACTAGCGCATACTAAACCACGCTGACTGTAGGGTACCTACAGTGGGAGTCCTTTGCCCATGGTTGCCCTAAAACCCTTGGTCAGCACATTCCTGTGTTCGACGACAGTCGGACGACCGTGTATTATATACTCTACACAATTATAAAATAATATTCAGGGGTTCTTAACACCTTCTATAATTGAACAAACGCCTTAAACAGCTATAAATCACCAGCCGAGATTCTATTATATCAAGATACTAAGTACGAGTAGTTTTAATACACTAACTACACTAATCAAGTAATAACTAGAATTTAAAGTACTTGTATTTATTATGTCTTTACGGATGATACTTTATCATTCTTCACTCAGATTATTAATTCTAAATAATTGGGTTAATATAAATTTACTTACTTCTTTTAGATAGTTTTCTTAAGGATTTATAATGCTTCTTTTTAATAAATAAATAAAGTTTTGACGCAAAAATGACTATATTCAATATCGTCTTAAAATGTACCCACGGCATAACGGAGTCGCGGCTAGTTTAGAATAGACTGGACAAAATAATTCTGCATTCTATATTGAATTCAGACCTTCAAAAATGGAGAAGAGCCGCTCGCTCACGAATGTATAAGCAGAACTAATCTTTTTTATATTATTTTTAATTACCCCCATCATGGGATTTTGTCGTCAGTGCTTTTTTGTTTATTGTATTAAATTGAACATAACATGATAATTATTTTTAAGATAAGATGCATAGAACACAATAATAAATTCAGCGCCGTAATTAAGGTGTGTCAAGGGCGATCTATGCCGCGGGTGTGAGCTTTTTGGGACGCCAAGTTCCTCAGAAAAAAGGTTTTTGAAATTTAAAACAAAAATTCAAACTAATTTCCCTTAACAGAAACGAGAGTAATATTAGCAATCAGAAATCAGTTTTTTGTGAGATAACTCTGGTAGCACTCATCAAGTTTTATCAAAAAAATCCCAGTCATCAGAATGGAATGAGTACGCGATATCAAAGCAAAACGTCGAGTGCTGACACGTGACTCGTGTGTTTTATCAATATATAAATAATAATAATAATAATAAAGCACATAATGAAGCCGGCGATGACGCCTAGACGGCTGCTTTCGAATCGACACAGTGTGCTTTGCTCCTGAAATTTTCCATCTTAGTGTACACTTGTGTCATGTTGGAATTTTATTTTTCTTCAAACCTTTACTTACGCCTTCTCTTCTCATATTCCCAAATTTCCAATTTCCCAATATACGAGTAGGTTGAGAAATAAACGCTAGTCAGGGTAAGTAGACAATGTCAATTAATGCCATACGAGACTTTAGTTAGTGTATACTGTATACGCTCAACTAGTATTAAATAAGTGATATCGAAAACGTTATTGGTAGTTTAAGTTGGTTTTCAGAAATTACTTTGAACAGTTCTGACGTTTAGCAACTTTATATTTATTTAAATAGTTTAAGAAACAACAAAAAAAAACCTTTTTAAATTTCAACACAACAAAGAAAATGCCACCGAAAAAACCTTCTGAAGCTGAATATAAAAAAATGTTTCAATGAAAACAGATGAAGTTAAAAAGATCGTGACACCAACAAAAGACTTCTTTTTTGTAATGCCCAAGCCAAATACTGCTAATGATAGTTCAACGACAGAATCTACTTCTCATGTTCATGTGAGTAATGCTATTGTCCTGGACCTAGAAATTATAGAAAAGGATGATAGTTCAATAACGAAATCTGCTCCTTCTTCCTCTTCCCGTGAAAGCAACATAAATGTCTTAAATCAATAACCTGGAGAGGAGTATAACCGTACTGCTGATAGTAGCAAAGCATTAAATTCAGTAGAAAGCTCAAGTAGTGCAGAATTGAATCTTGATTTTAACGATCCCCAGACTTGGACACGAGAAAACTCAAAAATTAGTGTAGACCACGGACCAGACCAGGGGGATGACATCGATGTGTAACCGACAGTAAATCACAGACAGTTTGACAAGAAATGGTTCTATTAAATTCTGGCGAATGGCGAGAAAATATGGAGATCCTAGCTGATTTATTCCAGAAAAAAAGACTTTTTGTACTACTTTCCTTGTAAACTTTTTGAACAAAATATATTAAGTGTTTTTTGCGAAACCGGTTTCTCGAACTGGAAACATTTAAATCCTGCTAGTTCTATGCATGAAAACTCGCTGTATCACAAAGAGAATTACCTGAAATGGAAGGAATTTGAAAGAGGCATTAAGAAAGGGACATTAATCGACGATAATTCTGAAGAATTAATTCTAAAAGAAAAATAGAAATGACGCCATATTCTTAAGGTAATATTGGATGCAATTTTACATTGCATTAAAAACAATGATACATTGAGGGAATCATTAGAATTTATTGGACATCCTAATTGTGGTAAATTTTTAAACACTACTGAGCTATCAATCATTATGATTTCACAATTGCAAATCACGTTATATCTCATAACAAGAACCACATATCATATTTTTCGCCTGTCATTCAAAATGAACTGATAAATTTAGTTGGGAAGAAAGTAAGGAGTACAATAATTTCAAATATAGTAGATTCAAAATATTATTTTATGTTGGATTATACATCCCATTAGGAGCAAATGTCACAGATCATTAGATATGTTCGATGCAGTCGAACCGAATGTACCATCGAGGAAAGCTTCATCGATTTCATAAAGCTTGCCGTCAAAACTGGAGATGCAATGGCAAATCAAATAACTTCAAAGCTGTTTGATGACGGATTTGATATTAACAACATTAGAGGTCAAGCTTACGACAACGGCGCCATTATGGCGGGTAAATATAACGATGTTCAAGCAAAAATATTAAATTTGATTAGGTTTCCCCAGTTTGTCCCATGCTCTGCCTATAGCTTAAATTTCGTAGCTTTTCATGCAACCAGATGTTCTCCAAAAAAGTAATAACATTTTTTTGGGATAGTCTAAAATTTATTTAATTACTTTGTGAGGTCAAATCGTTGGGAAATCTTAGTTTCTACTTTAAAGACTAGTCTAAAAAGTCATAGTGATACCCGATGGTGCACCTGAAGTGAAGCTACAAAAGCTCTCATGTTTAATTTCATAAATATAATTGATTTATTCAATAAAATAAAGGTTGAGGAAGATAATGATTTCAAGTTCAGATTCTGAAACTGCTGATTCAAAATCATTTCTAAAGTTACTTTTGGACTATAAGTTTATATGTCTTCTTGTTTTTTGGATGTTATTTTATCTAAAATTAATAGGATTAATATACTTTTGCAGGGAAAATCTATAACGATACTGGATGGGTCTAATTTAATAGAAGGGCTTGTTGAAGAAATTTTCCCTTAGGGAAAATGTTTTGCAAATAGCTAGTCAAATTTCTGAGTCCATAGATATAGAACCAGGATTTAACAACAGAAGAAGAAGAAGAAATGTTAACAAAATGCCAGGCGAGCTTTACTCTGACGAGTCATACAATTAAAAGAAAATGACTAATTCAAAATTTTTTGCTTGCAAATTGTTGATGTGATTCTATCTTAACTGAATAAACAGTTTTGTATCTTTAAAAGCGTTGAAAATGACTTCAATTTTCTAACGGTTAAATCACTTAAAATATTTTCTGTGGAAGACATAAGACGATATTCCAATTATTTAGCCTTAAAATATGATAAAGATTTAGATGCTTTTGAATTTGTTAACGATATTGAAAGTTTTAAGTTTCAAGCATCTTCTCACATGGAAGATTTAGAATCTCTGAGCCATTTAGAAATTTTACAATTCATTAGTGGTTTGTTTAAAGGTCATTTAGTAAATTGAAATTAATAAAAAATTATTTAAGCTTTTCCACTGGACAGGAAAGGCTTACTAATATGGCCATTTTGAGCATAGTAAGAGAATCGTCTTCGTCCATAGATTTTGATGATTTTATTGATAAGTTCACCAGTTTGAAGGTGAGGAGAATGCAATTTTAGTTTTTTCTAGATACCCAAATTGTTTGTTTTCCAACCTTATATTCGTTTATTTTGCCTTTTGGTGTAATTTGTTGTTTTTTTTTTTATTATGTATTTTATGTTTCTGTATTACTCG